CCTGTCCATCACCAACTCCCGGAGTCCACCCAAACCCATGTCCATTGAGTTGGTGATGTCATCCAACCATCTCATCCTCTGTCGTCCCCTTCTTCTCCTGCCCTCAATCTTTCCCAGCATCAGGGTCTTTTCCAATAAGTCAGCTCTTCGCATCAGGTGGCCAAAGTATTGGAGTTTCAGCTTCAACATCAGTCCTTCCAATGAACACCCAAGACTGATCTCGTTTAGGATGGACTGGTTGGATCTGCTTGCAGTCCAAGGGACTCTCAAGAGCCTTCTCCAACACCACAATTCAAAAGCATCGATTCTTCGGCGCTCAGCTTTCTTTACTGTCCAACTCTCACATCTATACATGACCACTGGAAAAACCATAGCCTCGACTAAACGGACCTTTGTTGACAAACTAATGTCTCTGCTTTTTAATATGCTGTCTAGGTTGATCATAACTTTCCTTCCAAGGAGTAAGCGTCTTTTAATTTCATGGCTGCAATCACAATTTGCAGTGATTTTGGAGCCCAGAAAAGTAAAGTCAGCCACTGTTTCCACTGTTTCCCCATCTATTTGCCATGAAGTGATGGGACCGGTTGCCATGATCTTAGTTTTCTGAATGTTGATATGTTTTAGTATCACTAAAGAGGTTTGGGGAAACCCATTCTTTAGCAGCAATGTCTTTGCAAATATTTTGGAATGAGAACTGTGGATCTGATACTTAATCAGCTTTTTTACAGAGGTTAACATTGTCCAACTCTATCCCAAATTGTAGGAGTGTGTCCTCTTGGTGGCCTCTGGTTCTGCATGCTTTGTCCATCTACACCAAGTGTCCCCAGAGCATGACTGTCCAACACAGATCTGCTGACTTCAGCATCCCACCATTCACACCTTGCTAATGTTGAAGCATACTAAAAATGAAATTTACTGTCATGAGAAGGGAAAACATTGATAATTTAAATTTGGCAATGGTAGTTCTTCACCCTGTGGTACAATGGAATTTAAAAAGGGTTTTGAGGAAGGAGATTTGAAATCCAGTCCTGACTCCACCCTTCACAAGCTGCCGACCCACAGCCCCAAGACTGTTGAGATGAAGTGGGAAAATGACGAGGAGTTGTCTGTGACCTGTGCCTCCCTGTGAAGGGGCTGTGGCATTCTTGTTGCTGAAAGAATGTCCTTAGTTGTAAATGTTTCTTGAAATTTTGTATTCTTGGAATCATACGATATTTCTTGTAGAGAAGGGATCTTATTATTTTGTTAAACTGTCTGCTTAAAGCAAGACTCTGTTCTGAAGCATCACAGCAGAAGCAAAGAGTATACAACCTGTGAGAAACTGCGTCCACGTACAGAAAAGCCCACATGATGTCATGGAGTCCGCTGTGTAACGATGGGGCTCACGGTCGCACCACAGCCCCTCCCCTCATTCTTAGTGGCTGTGCTCTGCATGGGCTCAGTACAAAGACTGGCTGCCTGGGTTGAGAGTGTGGGATGGCGTCATGGAAACTTGTTCTCCGAAATCACCATGGAGGTAAATCCCTATGGAGTGCCTTCCGCAAACACAGGGAAACCTAAAACACCAGGCAGAAGGAACCTCAGGAATCATGATATTTTTTAACCATAATCCATAGTTAGAAACACATTTGATATCATAAGCCAGCACATACACTCACAGACACACACACACATTGGAACAAAAATTTAACAAAGCAATTTTTTACAGTAGTAAGTACAACCTTTCATTCTGATCTATTTTATTTCATTGAAATAATCTACTGACAATCTACTGACAAAAACTCTAAATTGATTTTACAACCCACTAATGACTTTTGATTTGAGGTTTGAAAAACACTGATGCTGTCCAATGCTCCCATCTTACATATGAAGAAATCTGAGTCTCAGAAAAAGGAAATGACTGACTATTCCAGAAAGACATACATTTCCAACATGACAGCGACAAGGCACCAGGTCTCCTGATCATGGTCTTCCCTCAGAATCTCCTATTACTGCTCCTGGCTTCATGGATAGAGATATAATGTCGCCTAACTCTATGTTAGGCATATAATGTTGTCCTCTATCAGAGAGGGGATGAAGGGGCCTCCTTTCCCTCCCATCTTCCCTGGATGTCCCCCAATGTTCTGGCTGCAACAGGGGTCCCTACAAGCTCTTTTCCCAAAGACCTAACACACCAGTGACCCCAGAAGAGAGATCCTTCTAAGGTCTCTATGTCCCCTCTAGTCATGCTTGTGGGGATTTTTTCTTTGAATTAGCTAACAGCTGGAAAGGGTCATCTGAGAGCCTGTCCTTAGAAAGTTAAAATAAAGGATAGTTCCTTTCCTTGAGAAAAGATGGAATGTGGGGAGAATCCAGCAGAGAACCGGTCAGTAACTGACTCTGATTGATCAAAAGTTGTATGGGGCAATTTGACGCTGTTTATGGAGAATCCATACCCCAAAGCACTTAGAGAAGAAAGACTGCCCTGATTTACCCTTGAGCAATAGCTTCCTCTGCCCTCTTGCCCTAAGGCCATTCTGTCTTTTTCTCTACTCCCTTTTGCCTATCCTGCCAGAGGCGCCTTGAAAGGGGATATATTTTTCAACCAATAATTCCTGATGAGATGCACACTATCTTGTCCGTGTGTGTGTGTGTGTGTGTGTGTGTTTGTGTGTTAGTTGCTCACTCGTGTCCAACTCTTTGTGACCCCATGGACTATAGCCCACCAGGCTCCTCTGTCCATGGGACTTCCCAAGCAAGAATACTGGAGTGGGTTGCCATTTCCTTCTCCAGGGGGGAATCTCCCCGACCCAAGATCAAACCCAGGTCTCCCCCATAGCAGGCAGATTCTTTACCATGTGAGCCACCAGGGAAGCCCGAACTCTATCTTAAATATGACTATTTAAAGGAGTCAAGAAAACAGAAACAAAATCCAGAGCCTCTTTCTGTTATATTGGATTTTCCACAGGCAATACTTTTGAACATGAGGAACAAGGCTGTGGAGATATAAAGACGGAGGAACAGTTAAAGACAGACAAATTGACTACCGGTCATGAAAAGCTTTTTTTTTTTGCCAAGCCCCAAGGCATGTGGAATCTTCCCCAAGCAGTGATCCATCCCCTGTAGTGGAAGGGTAAAGTCTTAACCACTGGCCCACCAGGGAAGTCCATGAAAAGTTTATGATTGGGAGGTTTTTATTTATCTTTTACTAGCAAAAGACTGTGTAAACTCTAGGAAGTTTGATGTGGTTTTGTGTTTGTTTTTTTTCCCCCTAGAGTATCAAAATACTTCTCTCAGTTCTTCTTTCTTCTCCCCAACCATCTTCCCAGCCCATCTCCACCCCACTTTCAAACAATAAGACCAAGATACAGTTTGAGATAAGAAGTCAGCAACAGGAAGCAAAACTGCAGACTTGGAAGATTAGAGCCAGAGACCAGTTAATGCTTAAGTACTGTCTCTCTCTGCACAGAACCAATGCAGCTCCTGCCTGGCACTCCGGAGGTGTTTCGTACATGCTGATAGAACAACTAATTAACACATACTGTATGAGAACAAGCAGAAGGTCTATGGAAGATCAGCTCAGAAACTGGATTCCAGACTCCAGGAATGCAGTCAGGAGACCAGGAAGTACAATCAGCAGAGAAGACTGAGCTAGACTCGAAATTCATAGTCACAAGTTAGAATCAAGAACGGTAGAGAGCAGGCTTCCCTGTTAACATAAAACGAATTTCTCCCATTATATGGCAAGTGTACTTATACGACCAATGACAATGGACTGGCTCAGCCTCAGTTGGGGAATGGTCCAAAGAACTAGAGATATTTACTATGGAAAAGAGGAAAACCCAGAATAAATAAGAAAATTTTCTTCAAATATTGAAGAACTGTCATATTGTTCCATGTGACTTAAGGGATAGAATTAAGCCCATGAGTCAGAGTTAGAAAAGATTCTCGCTCAAGAGAAGGAAAAACTTCTCCCTCAGAGCTATCCAGAGGTGGAATGGACTGCCTCATTAAAGAATGAGCTCTCCATTTTGTGGGTGTTCAAACAAAGGCTGAGCACATGCCTTAAACAGACAGTAAAAAGCAAAAGAAGGAGGAAGAAAGGAGGTTTCTTCCTGTGAAAGAAAGGAGGTTATTTGTCAAATGTATCAGGAAGGAGGTATGAATTCAAATATGAATGAGCAGTTAGACATGATGATCTTTTGAATCCCTTGAAATTTGAAGGATCTCTAACACCTCGGACTGGTTTTCAGTCACTGGGTAAGAAATTCAGAAGAGCATGGGGAGTAGGGAAAGTGTACTATTTTGAGCAAGATCGGGTGGAAACTCATAAAGGGACATGGTGAAAGACTGCTCCAGAGAAAAAACGAGGAAGCAAGTGGATGATTAAGCAATTTAACTGGAATTTAATGGAGCAGAGGCACAGGGGGAAAAAAAAGGCGCCGGAGGAAAGGGGAATCTTGAGAAAAAGAAAGTCAAAGAGAAGAAAGAATTGGTTTTGGGAGAAAGAATGATATGTGAGTGGGAACTTTGTGATAAAAGGCACAAATAGAAGCCTCAATTTTTATTCTCCCTAACTCAACAAATGACCTAATAAGCACTTTTTTAAGACAAGTCTGCTTAAATAGGAGTAGAAAAATAGAAAATGGATATATAACTAGGAGCTTGATAAAAGGAGAGACAAAAACAGATGAATGTGATGAATTCAAAACATTACAAAGTTTTTTAAAATTTATTTATTTTTTAATTGAAGGATAATTGCTTTACAGAATTTTGTTTTCTGTCAAACCTCAACACGAATCAGCCTTAGGTATACATATATCCCCTACCTTTTGAACCTCCCTCCCTATTCCATCCCTTATTACAAAACTTTTGAAATAGCAAAGCAGGAACTATTTGACCACCCACAGAGTAAAAAGTGTTTCTTCTTCTACCACCTATTCAACCTCCATCCTTCAATAGTCTAATGAAAATAATAGAACTATTTTGAAATAAAGATTGTATTATTCTCCTCTTAGCTGCTTTAACAAGTTACCACAAATTTACTGATCTAAAACAACACAAATTAGTTCTCATACAATTTTGGAGGTTGGAAGTCTGACAGGAGTCTTCTGGGCTAAAAGCAAGATGTTGTCAGAATTGATTCCTTCTGGAGACTCCAAGGGAAGATGCGTTCTTTGTCTCCTTCAGCTTCTAGAAACTGCTAGCGTTCCTTGGGTCACAGCTACATCACTTCAAATTTTGGCTTGTATGATCATCTCTCCTTTTCTGGAGAAATACAAAACGTTACAGATTTCTCTCATAAAGACCCTTGTGATTATTTTGGGCCCATTCAGGTAATCCAGGATAATCTCACATTCTCAAAGTCCCTTTTACTATTTACGGTAACATATTCACAAGGACTTCTTCGGGAATCCATTGTCTACCATAAGGATGGTAAGCATCTGGTTTTCACAGTTAGAAATGTCATGTGAGCTTTTGAAATTGAGACCACTGATCCAGCATTTTTAGGGCATGTTATTATTAGGGAGCCTGGTGGTAGAAAAAGCAATAATTAGGATTCCAGAAGACTGGGTTCTAGTTCTATCACTGCCATTAGCTGGTTTTATGATCTTGAACAAGTCACTACCTCGTGTCTGGAATTCTCCTTGTCTATGAAATAAACTCTATCATTCTCCAGTGGGAAATTGTTGAACCAATGTCCTTGGCCCATTCTTTCCTCCTTGTGATAAAGGGCATAAATCTTCCCTAAAAGTGAACAGTTCATTCATTGTTGCTAGGAAGCAAACCTTTCTCTTAGTAGCCAAGTGGCAAGATCTCCAGACTAACTCTGGGGCACTCTGTGAAGTATGTCACCTGGTCTTTGTGACAGTATCAGTCTACACCTTGTGCACGTCAGTCAAGCCTCTTAAGAAAACAATGTTCTGAAGTTTGTTAAGATAAGACCTCTGAACTCATGTGAGTACAACATCCTGGGCTTGTTCTCTCAAATAATATCTAAAACTATGGCCAAATATATATATATTCATTTATTCAACGAACAGTCATGGAGAACCTACCAGGTGCAAAGCACTGTGCAAGGCTGATTCCTAGCAAACTCGGTTCTTGAGTATAATAAAGACTATTCTACCTAATAGATTAAGTTGAACACTTGAACATTACCAGTCAGCAAACCATTCAATAATGTCTGTGAGAACTAAACACAGGAAATAAGAACTCAAGTGCTCTCACCTGAAGTAATACCATACAAATATAACACATATGAACATGCCTTAAGATCAGGTTGCTTTTTTTTTTTAAGTCTTCATTTTCCTTTGTATTTATAATTTTTAAAACAAGTGTCAGCCTCTACCCTTCTGCCTTTCCAGCTGCTGCTTTTTCTAGCACAGCAATATAAAAGTAGAAAATTTGATCTTAGGTTCTGAGTATGCTTTCTGTTACAAATAGTATAATCCTACTTTTAATTTTAAAAGTCTATGTGTGATTTTCCCTTATATGATGGGATTTTGTTTTTTTTTTTCTCTTTTTCAAGTATATACATTTTCTAAATTTTCAATAATGAACACTTATTTATCATATAAGAAAATACATCAAACTGTTTTGATACAAAATAAATAGATCCTTGCCGCTTGTGACAAATTAACCTTCAGTGTAATTTTTCTGTTGGAAAACTTGGATGGATACTACTTGGTATCCACAGTGGTAGTACATGTCTATACAATTTGACAGCTTTGAATAATAATTATAGTCACAAAGCATTTATGAGATTGTAAAGATTAAGTTTTGACTTCTCTCCAGCTCATTCTGTAACTTGGGGAATTGTTAAACTTCTCTGTACCGTGGTTTCTGGCCACATTTCACTCTGGGATTTTTTTCCCTGACCTGGCAAAAATTAAGAGGCATACGGGCTTTGAGGGTCAAATAGCCTTTGAAAAGTTTCTATTTATTGCATTTATATTTACTAATGGTCACTTTATGATATGTAAAAAACTGAGGGACTTAATTTGGCACAATTATTGTAAATCTCTTGAACTAGCAAGTTTCAAAACCTGACAAGCTAATTGATTCCCAAATTAGATACTAAATCCTCGCTGCCACTTCCTGAAGGTCAACCAGGAAAGACAGAACTAACGTAAGCACCCGCGTAAGGTTATAATTTAACCAGTGGTTCCCATTTGAGATGACCACATTCTTACACAGAAAAGGAAATGTTTGTTCAACAGTTTTATCTGTTTTCTTTCATGGGATCTGAAGGAATTGACAATGTATTATTTTAACTTCAGCTGCTTTCTTGAACAAACTGGAGGATCAGCCCAATTCACAAAGCATATCAAAGGCAGTAGTTTGAGGATAGGGTTGTACTCCTTTACTTGGTCCCAAAGAGATCACGTCACTCAAAATCACATGGTTATTAGAAAAGGACACTTGAGAACAACAAATTTCCAGTATCTGGAATAATCAAGAAGCCCTTTTTGGTGTTTAACTGAAACACACAGATCTCCTCTGTAGTTTTCAGCCCCGACAGTCTCCTGTTCCCACATATTATAACTTGTTGTTCAGACCCCCTCCTTATTTTTTCATTCCACAGCCATTTTTGAACACTTGCCCATGCCAGTCACTGTATTAAATGTTGGAAGAATAACCGACACATTGCAGCTCTGGGCCATTTACAAGCCCCTTTTACCATCATTGTATCATTTGGCCAAGCAATGTGAGCTATGAGAACCGAGACTCAGTCATCCTTACATCACCTCAGACTTAGTTTGGTGCCTGCTCAGTACACCTAATGTTTGTTGAACGGATGCATAAATGTACACAAGGATGAGGAGTGAATATATAAAACCTTATAATCCTGGTTTATGCATTTTTTTCATTGGCTATCAAGCATTCATTCACTTCTCTCCTTAACTCTTTTTTCCCTTGGAAATGTTTTCTGATCCCTCTCATCCCCTTCTCCCTTGTAGAGCATCTCCTAATGGTGCTCAGAAGCAACACCTCAACTCCCCAGAAGTCCCTCAACCTTCTGCCTCTGTCCCCTGGCTGAGATCTTTGTTATCCTAACACGCTCTGGGTGAGGGGACCCTGTGGGTCAGACCCACTCTGGCCTCTTTTTGAAATCGATCAACTCTTCTTGTGATGGGGGATGCTGCAACACATGTGACTTGCAAGACCTTAGTTCCCTGACCAGGGATTAAACCCAGGCCCTGGCAGTGAAAGTTCTGAGTCCTAACCACTGTACTGTTAGGGAGTTCCCAGAACTGACCAACTCTTTATGAAGGTTTGGCAATTGGACTAAGATGCAAATTTTGTATTCTTATTACTGTTGTAGAATAATTTTATTTGGGATAAAAATCTGTATATATTTTCTTTGTTAGATTAGAAATCAAGATAGCCACATGTAAGAAACCTAGAAAACTGTGGTGGAAACCATAAGCTAAGCTCATGTACATTTAGCACTCAGGGTAAGAGCACAGGCAAAATCAGGAAATGGATGGTGTTTAGAGATTGCTAAAAATATTTCAAGCAGTTATCTACTAGCCTCACAAACAGAAGGGGGTGTGTATGTGTGTTTAAGTACCTTTTATATCCACCTTACCTGCCTCCTGAGAAACCTGTATGCAGGTCAAGAAACAATGGTTAAAACTGGGCATGTAACAACAGACTGGTTCCAAATTGGGAAAGGAGTACGTTAAGGCTGTATATTGTCACTCAGTTTATTTAACTTATATGCAGAGTACATCATGTGAAATGCTGGGCTGGATGAAGCATAAGCTGGAGTCAAGATTGCCAGGAGAAATATCTATAACCTCAGATATGCAGATGACACCACATTTATGGCAGAAAGCAAAGAGGAACTAAAAAGCATCTTGATGAAGATGAAAGAGGAGAGTGAAAATGTTGGCCTAAAATTCAACATTGAAAAAAATGAAGATCATGGCATCTGGTCCCATCACTTTATGGCAAATAGATGGGAAAACAATGGAAACAGAGAAAGACTTTATTTTCTTGGGCTCCAAAATCACTGCAGATGGTGACTCCAGCCATGAAATTAAAAGACACATGCTCCTCAGAAGAAAAGCTATGTCAAACCTAGACAGCATATTAAAAAGCAGAAACATTACTTTGCCTGCAAAGGTCCATCTAGTCAAAGCTATTTCTTCCAGTAGTCATGTATGGATAGAAAAGTGGGGCCATAAAAAAGGCCGAGCACCAAAGAACTGATGCTTTTGAACTGTGGTGCTGGAGAAGACTCTTGAGAGTCCCTTGGACAGCAATGAGATCAAACCAGTCAATCCTAAAGGAAATCAATTCTGAATATTCATTGGAAGGACTGATACTGAAGCTGAAGCTCCAATACTTTGGCCACTTGATGCAAAGAGCTGATTCATTGGAAAAGACCCTGATGCTGGGAAAGATTGAAGGTGGGAGGAGAAGGGGACGACAGAGGATGAGATGACTGGATAGCATCAGTGACTCAACAGACATGAGTTTGACCAAGCTCTGGGAAATGGTGAAGGACAGGAAATCCTGGCATGCTTAGTCCATGGGGTCGCAAAGAGTTGGACATGACTGAGCAACTGAACCACAACAACGATATCCATCAAAATTTTAAAACAGATAAGACTCCAAGAAAACAAGACCCACCTTTCCCACCTAAAGTGGCAATGATTCAGTTTCTTCCTGCACTCAACAAGTATTTATTGAACATCTATTTTCTAGGCATTCTTGAGGATATGGTGGTTTAAAAAAAGAAAGACAAAGACACAACAGGGCGATCAGGGAAGGAGACGCACTTTAACTCAGCCCCAAAGGACAAGATACAACAGCACAGGCAGAGCCACTATATCAAAAGGCTCTGGGCTGCTCCCCCAGCTGAGACCGGAGAAGGAGAGGGTGTGAGGTGAGATCCCAGAAGCAGGAGGCAGAGAGAGAAAGGCCTAAAGTCAGAGGAGGCAGTGGGGTTTACCCTGAGCATGAAGGAGAGCCAGAAGAGCAGTGGAACAGCAGGCCTGATAAGTTTTTACCTGTGCCACATACCAGGGCTGGAACAAAGTTAAGGTGAAACAGCCATCTCAAAAGGCACTAGAGTAACTAGCCAGCCGCTTTGTCTCATTTATCTGGACACTACTGTAGAGGATTAGCTTTGTCATCTCATGTTTTGTTATTAATACTTTACTAGCCACTTTCCTGTTGGTAAAGATTGTGCCAGGGTTTCCCTAAATTACCACATTAAATCATCATGAAAACTGAACCATCTGTAAGACTTCAAAGGCCTGCCTCCCTCAGCGCATCTACAGGATTGTGTCTTGTTGAGATGACACTCCCATAATGGGTCAGGAAGAGGGTTAGGATGAGGGTCTTCCACAACAGCTTCCACCACGAGGCAAACAAATGTGCCTGTAGATTTAGATCAGGAGGAAACGTATATTCCTTCTCTCAGCATGTATTTATGGGCGTTAGAGATGTGAAAACTGGTAGAATGCAGTCCCAGTTCTTGTGCTTAGTCACATGGGACGGGATCTAATATATTAGATTCCAGTTCATATCTGCTGCCCCCTTTTTAATCCCTCATCTCCATCCACAACCGTCATGCGTTTCTGTGATAGAGAATGGAAGAGAGAGCTGGAGCGAGACACACGGGAAGGGGGAGAATTGCTCACGCCTTGTAAACACACCCCAGCACCATTGTGCATGAAATCAGGTGCAAATTAAGATCCAGGTTGACCTCTGGAGACAAGAAGGCAGCCTGGGGCAGTGGCTACAAGCATGGGCTCTGGCATCACCCCGGCCAGGGCTTCCACACATGTGTCCTGCCACTGGCCCACAGTGTGACTCCAGGCAAAGTACTCACCCTCTTTTAGGTCTTAATGTCTCATCTTAAAATGGGGGAGAATAGTATCTCCCTTACTGGATTGCTGTAAGGAAGTGGTATGTAAAGCATCTGTCTCGGAGCCTGACTACAGTGTTTAATAATTGGTGGCTTTTCTCACCCCAGAAAATAAGAGAGGAGACCTGGATGTGGAGGCAAGGAGAGGTGGTTACCCTGGAGGTGTGGGAGAGGGGGTGGGCTGGCAAAGAGTAGGCCCACCGGGCGCGCATGAACTGAAAATTCAGGCTTCCTCTGCCATGCTGTGCACATGTAAAGCCTCAGGTCAGAAGGGAGTTAAGCAGGGCATTGGCACCAGGGAAAAGCCACCCTTCCCGTCCCCTCCCCACCTTTCCCTGCCCAAACTGCCACTAGCTGCTGCTCATTGAAGGCGGTGGCAGCACAGCTTCCACAGGGAGGAGACCCTGGGAGATGGATCTGTTTACTTGTCCTGTTAAGTTGCTGTCTTGTCTCCTTCAGCAGTTGTGGCCCACTTCATTCATCCAGTCACACCGAGGAAAACAGATACCTTAACTGGGCCAGAAGAACACAGTGTGGCCCAGAACCTGCTGACTTTGCAGTCTTTACATGCACCACAAACAGTTATCAAATGTCTGCAAGTGTAAATCTGGAAGATACAATGACACCTAACAGGACATGTAAGAAGGAGCATTGGTGATTAGAGCAAGGGGCGTGGAGAGCAGTGACTGCATCCCATGAGTATGCTGCGTGGAGCAAGTGACTCCTGAGTCAATGGAAAGGGAAGGCATGTTTACCACAGAGTCCATTTTTTCAAGCAGCTCTTACTGAGAGAGATTGAGAATTAGCTAGGAGAAAACAGGATCAGAGAAAGGTGTGTTTTAATACCAGAGTGACTTGGGCATGGGTGTGGACTGAGACAGCAGAAGTGGCTGGACTGGTAAGTTCTCCCAGGTACTGAGAGGGAGCTGGGCGAGACTCAGCAGAGGAGCAGTGCACCCACGATGGGGAGAGGAGGGGAGGTGAGCTGTGAATGTAGGTAAAACGGAGGGGGAGCAGGTTTTTCACACTTTTGAAGGTTCTTGGCTTAGTTTTCTCAGTGAAGCAGGGAGTCAACTCCTGAGACTGAATGAAAGAGGGTCGGTTGGCTGGGGCCTGGAGAGAGAGGTGAAGCTATGCAAGAATCCCTGAAGACTGTTGATTGGGATGGAGAACCCGGCTGCTGTGCTGGAAGCAGAGGTTTTGTTAGGGTCCTAGACCTCAGGGGTGTAAAGTTTCTTTTAGCAAATGGCAGTCTCTGCATCCCATAGAGAGAAGCGGGCCATAGAGTAAGATGGTAAGGGGTGGTTAAGTTTTAGGTCATCCACTGTGTATCAAGGCTAGACAGGAAAGTTGGAGGACATCAGAAGACTGGCACACTCAGACAAAGCCAGGAGACAGTGAGACTGGAGGGCCCCCTGAGGGGAAAGAGGAAATAACGGGAAGGGAAGGACTTCGATGAAAACTGAGGAATAGGAGAAACTCTGTGCTGGTTTGAATAGTGTCCTCCAAAAGTCCATGCCCACCCAGAACTTCAGAATGTCACCTAATTTGGACATGGGGTTCTTTGCAGACTTAATTAGTCAAGATGAAGTCGTAATGCATTAGGATGGATCGTAAATTCAACGACTAGTGTCTTCATAAGAAAACAGAGAAACAATAATACACACAGAGAGAGGAGAATGTCACATAAAGACAGAGGCAGAGGCTGAAGTGACACGGGTCTAGGAACCAATGACAAGGATTGTCAGCAACGACCAGAAGCTAGGAGAGTGATATGAAACAGGTTTTCCTTCAGGGCCTCTAGAAGGAACCCACCTGCCACACCTTGATTTTGGACTTACTTATTCTCCAGAACTATGAGAGAATAAAAATTTCTGTTGTGATATTTGTTACGGTAGCCCTAGGAAAAGAATACAAAGAGGAAGAAGGTCATGGTTATAGAGTTGGGATTGACAGTGGCCACATCCCCTTTCCCACTTTTGTGCTTTGCCACGACAGTGAGGAAGAAAAGGGTTGGCAGACATTAGAGAGAGCCAGTGAGGTGGATTTGATGGGTCCTGGGAACTCATCAGATGATGGCTGGGGAGGGGAAGGAGACATGGACAAAAGGGGCAAAGAGGACTTGAAGGTGTCACAGCCAGTAAATGAGTGACCACCGACCTCCTTGTCCTGTGACTGGCACAGCCCTTCTCCCCTGGAAGAAGAGCATGTGATCTGAGAAGATTCAGGAGGCTGGGTGGAGGCTCAGGAAAGAAGTGGAGAAGGGGCCGTGCTGCTAAGTGACGAGTGAGTCTGTGGTGAGGAAGTGGAGATGATCAGAAGAGATGATGTCTTCCACAGCTGAGGAATGAACGAGAGGAGGCTCAGGTAGAAAAGCTGCGCTCTTTGGACATCAGTGTGGTTTGTCTTCTAAAGGGTTACCTTGGACCCAGAAAAATTAGTATCACTGTCATTTTTTTCTCTCCCACCCCATGTATGTATATTACATAAATATTAAATTGAACCACATCTCTGCATCATAATCCTGGCTATTCTAACCTTCTACCTGTGTTGGTCACAATGAAACAGAATTGGAAGAAAGCTCAAAGGAAAGAGCACATCACTGTGCCCATGTGTGTGCATGCACACGCATGTATGCATGTGGTGAGGAGACGGGAAGTACTTAGAAACTGGGTGTCTCATCCCAACAATGTCCTTCGGGACACCGGTGTGGCTCATTTCTGGGAGGGTGGCTCCCACCTCTACCTGCCGCCACTCTGCCCACGTGATCATCTCTCTCTGGAGGAGTGGCCATAGCACCCAGGAAGTCCTGGGTCTGGGTCTCCTCTGGTTAGCAGGGGCTCACGTTCCCTTGGAGGGGATCACCTCCTCCCCTGTGTTTCTAGATCATGGCCAAGGCTGCTCCTGCTTCTTGTCTCTGCTGGGTAAGGACTCATCCCTAATGTTGTGTTTTGTCTTACACTAACAGCAATTTGTTGTTCATCTTCATTATTTCTAAGTACAACCCCTTGGTCTACATTCCTGGCATAGAAACAAAGAACTGGTTAAAGCTAATACCTTGTTCCAATGGAACCTGGAGAGCAAACCCAGAGGATCAGGGTAGGCAACTCTTCCAAGAGCCCGAAAGCCATTTTCCTTCCAGCACAGTCTTGATGCTCTCCTTGCCTCTGTTTGGTCAGATGGTTCTTAGATGTAATAGAATCCTCTTACTCCACTTGCAGCCTGCTGCCAAGAAAGGATTTATGCTTATTTATCAAACCTTCACAAAGAAAAGAGTTAAGTAGGATGAAAATTAAGTACAGAAGCAAATCAAAGCTTAGGTGTTTTATTATGCATACCGCCACCCACAGAGCCCAGGTCTGCTGATCAAGAGATAAAGCAGAAAAGGCTGGAGGGAAGAACCAGGTAAAGCAATGAAACAGAAGTTTCCTTTGCTCCTGTTGTCAAATTTCACAACATTTGAAGGCCAGTATAACAGAGGAGGGCTTCCATGGTGGTTCAGCGGTAAAGAATCTGTCTGCAATGCAGGAGATGCGAGTTTGATCTCCAGGTTGGAAAAACCCCCTGGAGAATGAAACGTCAATCCACTCCAGTATTCTTGCCTGGAAAATCCCATGGACAGAGGAGCCTGGAGGTCTAGTCAATGGGGTTGCAAGGACTCCGACACAACTTGGCAATTAAACAACAATAGCAAAAACATAATACAGGAGGAATACTGAAGAAGTGCCAGCTTTTTATTAATTCATTCAGTATTTTGAGCATCTACTGTGCACTGGGCATTGAGCAAGGAGAGCGTTGGGAATATAAAAAAGAATACAATCTCTGTCTTGTGATAGGGATTAAGATCCATACAAAGCACATAGGAGGGAGCTGCAGTTATTGTCTGGAGAAGTTGGGAAGGCTTCAGGGAGGAGGTGATAATTCAGGTAATTCTGCAAAATGAGTAGGAGACTGCTAAGTATTAGAAATAGCATGCACCAAAGTACAGAGCTGTAAAGAACATCTTTTGTTCAAGGGACATTAAGAAGTTGAAGGCTGTAATAATTCAGGTAGTGCTAGGGGATGTGGCCAGAGACACAGGCTGGGAATATACTATTAAGAACCTTTTCTACCAAACAAGAAATTAGGATTTTATTCTGTGAAGGGAGCTCTGCTGGGAGTCTTTTAAGTCGGAGAGCTGCTTGGTGATAGACTGGACTAAACACTGGAAGACTAAATATGAAGGGTGACACGAGAGGGTATGGAGGGAAAAGAAGAACTGGCAAAACAAAGGGAAAGAAAAGAGTCAAGGTGAACTGCCAAGATTCCTGGCTGGGCGACTGGGTGGGTGGTAATGATATTAACAGAGCCGGGGAGTACAAGATAGCCAGCAGGTTTTGCAGGGAATCATCACGTTCACTCCAAACCTGTTTAATGCACCTTGGAGCAGTCTGCAAAACACTCAGAGGGAGTGGACAATACAAGACTACTGAGTGGGAGGTTGTGACTTGTAGTGCAGGCAAGGACAGACCTACAAAGAGGAGGTCCACCTGCAAGTTGAGAATCAAGACAGGCACTACTGGGGACTTTCAGGGTGGGCCAGTGGTAAGGATTCTGCCCTTGCAGTGCAGGAGGTATTGGTTCAATCCCTGGCCAGGGAACTGAGATCCCTGCATGCCACACAGTGAGGAAAAAAGCAAGCAAACAAGCAAACATGGGCACAGGATAGGAATTAAGTATGACATCCTGAGCTACAAACTAGAAAGAACCTAGGAGGGTTGGTGATCCAGGAGGCTGCAGCACAGTCATTGGAAACTGCTTCAGGGAGCAGCTATATCCAGCCAGGAACACCTGACCCCCATACCCCCACACGAGTCTGTGATGAAGTGAAGAAAAATCCATCAGGCAGAAGGCACCTGACATCCTTCCTTTGTCTTTCTTTCTCTGACTCTGCCCAGTGCCCCTCAGGGCTCACCTCTGGTTCAAGTTTACCTTTGCAGCCAGAAGGGGCGTCAAGACCACAAGTCATGGGGAATGGACAGTTGAGTCTTTTGCTGGATAGTTCAGTTGGAACCTGGAAGGGACAGCAATTTACTCTCTTTGTTAAAAGATTTTTTTTTAACCATTATGCAATAAAAGATATAATAAGGGAAAATTTGGAAATAATGGGGAAAAAAAGGAGTGAATACTTAGTTTCAGAAATCACCATTACCCTTGTGGAACATTTCCTTCCAATCTTTTTCTATATACATAAAGTGAAGAAGAACTAAAGAGCCTCTTGATTTAAGTAAAAGAGGAAAGTGAAAAAGTTGGCTTAAAGCTCAACATTCAGAAAACTAAGATCATGGCATCCAGTCCCATCACTTCATGGCAAATAGATGGGAAAACAGTGGAAACAGTGGCTGACTTTATTTTTGGGGGCTCCAAAATCACTGCAGATGGTGANGACGACAGAGGATGAGATGGCTGGATGGCATCACCGACTCGATGGACATGAGTTTGGGTAAATTCTGGGAGTTGGTGATGGATGGGCAGGCCTGGCATGCTGCGGTCCATGGGGTCACAAAGAGTTGGACATGACTGAGCAACTGAACTGAACTGAAATGAAGAGTTTTGCTTATTTTTTTGGTTATTGCTAGCATATGATAATGTTGTTAGGTTTAATTTAGTGTTAGCATATGTATATAATGGTTCGTTAAAAATATTATAAGCTATGTTATTACACATATTTCATAAATACCACTTTTAATGATTGCATAAATTGCTCTGATTGAAACAATAATTTATTTGAGTCTTATAATATATACATGGTAAAAATTCAAAATGCAGAAAGGGTATACATGAAAGATAAGTCTCTCCCATCCCTATCTCCCAGCCCTTCAGTTCTCCTTAAACATAAAACGAGTTCCACTCTGTTGTGTGTTCTTCCAGGGATATTCTACATATTTCCAAATGTGCATTTATAAATAAATATAAGTAGTCTTTCTTCTCACCCTAATGGCAGCATATCATATAAAATGTCTGCAGTTTGCTTTTTTCACTTATCAGTGTATCTTGGAGTCTGTTCCAAATTGCCAAATTAAAGCTGCCTTGTTCTTTTTAGAAAAGCAATTTCTTAGTAGGCAACAAAGGGTGGCTCTCCTAGGAGCAGCGGGACCCTCCCTTGAGCCAAGGTGCCTGTCGGCCAGGTTTGCTCCTATAAGCCAGGAATGTCAAGTCTGATATCTCCATCTCCCATCCACAGGATAGAGGGAACCAGAAGCCCAGGAGGCAGGAATGTTTCTTGTTAATGAATGGAGGCTGACTGGAAGACTGAACCTTGCTCCAGAAATGAGGCTGTTTTCTGTTTCATGTTCACTGGCTTGTGAAAGCCCACATGTTCCAGGAAACCTCCCCAGGCCACTCTAGCCATCAGTTTCTCCAGTAGATCAAAGGTAGATCTCTCCAGTAGATCTCTGGGGATGGCGTGACAACCTTGCCACAGACATCCCTCCATCTCCTGGCCATGGCTCTTTTCTCATAGTCTTCTTGAAATTTCCCAGTTAGAGGGACAGCCTTCAGCACTAGATCTATCCTGCTAGTATTTTAAGGAGTCTTACTTTACTAACTCACTTAGTTCATGCATTTAATACTCAGAAAGATAATAAAAAATCTGAGAGGTTTGATATAATAATATTATTAAAGGTCCTAAAAAAGAGGGAGATTATTGAAGAGAAATGTGGACAGTGGGCCAAAGTATTTGTTGGAAACAAGATTTTCCTGTTTTCCTGAACTTCTAAGACCACCCTCTACTCAACCCCAGATAAACAGGAAGGGTGGATTTCTCATGTTCATAGTGCCGAGGGGACCCAAAGGGTCACACACTCATGATCTCAAGGAACCTATAATCCTCTGTGTGCCAGGCATAGTGCCAGGCACTATGAATAGATACAATGAGGTGAGGAGGAGATCATGGTCCAGATGGTAAGATAGATATCAGTGCAGCAGATATCACTAGTGAGTGAAGAGTGGAAGCCCAAAAAATGATAGAGATTGAGTTCTCAAACTGTGGTCCTTGACTTGCTGGTAGATCATGAAATCAAACTTAGCAAATGATAGATGTGATCAGGATCTTTTTTTTTTTTTGGCTGAGCCGGGTCTTTGTCACGACATGTGGGATTTTTAGTTGCCGTGTGTGGGATCTAGTTGTCTGACCAGGGATCGAACCCAGGCCCCCTGCACTGGGAGCATGGAGCCTTCGCCACTTGGACCACCGGGGAAGTCCCCAGGATCTTTTTTATAAATAGTAGAATAGAATGAAAAATCCTAAAGCCTGTGGCATATATTTTGAACACTACTTTGTGAAACTTTTCTTTTCCAGTTACATATCAACTTACACGTGCTTCAGTCATGCTTAAAAATGTATTTATTTTAAAAAGTTTTAAAAATGTATTTATTACTGTGGATTATGGGCATAAAGTTGAAAACAACTGACTTCACAGGAAAGAGTGATTTATGGACCTGTGAGTAGCCAGGGGAAAATACCTCCAAAGTACAGGACCCAGCACTGAGTATGTGCTCAAAAATGTTTATTGAAGCTGTGCATGCTACAGGACTTTAAGGGAAGGCCAAATAAAGCAGAGTGGGCTCACTGACCCTAATCCTTGGGATCAAATGTGGGGGCTACTCAGGCAATATTTCTTATTTCTTACATCTGGGACCCTTCCACTTTGTTCCAAGACCATTGCTGCCATTCTAATGCAAGTCCTCATCATCTCTGGGCTAGCTAGTGTTCCTTCTCCTCCAGCCCTCTGTACCAGACAGTAGTGTATTCAGGTATAACAGGAATCCCTACCTCAGTGGTTTAAACAAGTAGGGATTTATTATCCACATGTAACAAAAAGTCTGGATACAGATTAACCAGAGTTTATATAAATAGTAGGTCAAGGGTGTGATCTGAAAATCAAGCTCCTTCTATCTGCCTGCTCTATATATCTCCAGCATGAAACCTTCATCCTCGTGGTTGCAAGATGTCTGCTGTACCTCCAGGCATTATATCCTTTTCCCAGATAGGAAAAAAAAAAAGAATGTAGAATAAAGAAACATACCTTTTCATCAGTAAAACAATAGCCTTCCCTGAGACTACTGATGCCCACTCAGTAGACTTCCAAATTATATCTCATTAACCACTTATACTGTCAAATACCCTCCCAAGGCTTCCCTGTGCCAAAGGAACCAGTGAGTTTGCATTTTTGATTGAATACACTGAAACCTTGAAAGAAAAAACAGGGTTTTGTTAGTAAAAAAAAAAAAAAAAGATGTCTAGAATCATCAGCTACATCCCTTTTATCATAATCCTTGCTTTTATCTTTCAATGGTTTTCCATTGCTCTTAAGAGCAAATCTGAAAGCCTTAATGTTGCTGTTAGGGACTGATCATGTCCCACCAACCCCCCAAATTCATGTGCTCATGTGATTAAAAGATAAACTAAGGCATATTAAAAATGTTAAGAGTTTATTTGAGTAAAACTCACTTAGAATTGAGCAGCAGCCAATATAGCAGACCAAAAGGAGCTCTAAGAAGCTGTACAAAATGAGAGACTTTTATAGCCAGAAGGGAGTAGGACCAAGGAAATTATACTAGGCACAAAACCGTGTTGGTTATTTAAGGTTACTTTACTTTAGGGGATGACAGGGGTCTCTCATGTAGATTATCTAACTAGTGCTGATCAGGCAATTCCTGACTGACTGGTTTAAGATTCCATTTCTAGGAGAGATGAAACTGTAATTAAGTCTCAGTTTGACAACATGGGGTTTAGTACAAGCAACTCCACTTGGGGCCTGTTATTTTTTAATATCCCAGTAGACAGGGGCTTCCCAGGTGGCTCAGTGGCAAAACACCCACCTGCCAATGCAGGAGGCAAAGGAGACTTGGGTTCGATCCCTGGGTCAGGAAGATCCCCTGGAGAAGGGATGGCAACTCACTCCAGTATTCTCGTCTGGAAAATCCCATGGACAGAGGAGCCTGATGGGTTACAGTCCATGGGGTTGCAAAGAGTTGGACACGACTTAGTGATTGAACAACAGTGTCCTTAGTAGAAGAGATGAATACATACAGAGACCCCAGGGATGCATTGACACAGAGGAAAAGCCACGTGAGGACACAGTGAGAAGGCAGCCACCTGCAAACCAAGGAGAGAGGCTGCAGGAGAAACCAAACTACCAACAACTCGATCTTGGAGGTGTTCCAGCTTCCATTTCTCCACTGTGAGAAAATAAATTTCTGCTGTTTAAGCCACCTAGTCTGTGCTATTTTGTTATGGTAGCCTGTGATATTGTGATTTATAATAAGAAATACATATTTGGTTTTCCTCCCCTTAATGGCACAGAGCTCCTAAAACCCTTGGAATTTTCAAAGTGATGAGTGCAATAAAGGTGTCTTTTGTTATGTTAATGAGGTGATTTGGGGAAGACTCCTAGGTAACCTAAGGATCTGGGCTAGTTGCCAGGGGAACCAACCAAGGGATTAGAGGATTGGAAACTTCAGTCCTCTAAAGAGGAGAGAGGGATTGGAGATTGAGCTCCATCACCAAAGGCCGATGATTTAATCAATCTTGCCTTTGTAATGAAGCCTCCACTAAAACCCAAAAGAACTGAGTTCGGAGAACTTCTTGATTGGTCAACATGTGGAGATGCAGTGACTGTTTCTCTCACAGAGCTTGGAAGCTCCTCACCCCTTCCCACACACCTTGATCTAAGTATCTCTTCCACCTAAGTGTTCTTGAGTTATATCCTTTCATGCTGCTGCTGCTGCTAAGTCACTTCAGTCGTGTCTGACTCTGTGTGACCCCATAGACGGTAGCCCACCAGGCGCCCCCGTCCCTGGGATTCTCCAGGCAAGAACACTGGAGTGGGTTGCCATTTCCTTCTCCAATGCATAAAAGTGAAAAGTGAAAGTGAAGTTAATCAGTCGTGTCTGACTCTTCGCGACCTCAGGGACTATAGCCTACCAGACTCTATCATCCATGCAATTTTCCAGGCNCTCAGTGTTCTGTGATTGACCTAACAAATTAATCAAACCCAAAAGTGGTGTGTATGAGGGGTTATACCTTGTAGGACTAAGCTCTTAACCTGTGGGATCTGAGCCTATCTCCAAGCAGATGGTGTCAGCATTGAGCTAATTGTTTCACGGTACAGAAAAAAACAAAAACAAAACAAAACCCACAAACCTTTAGAAAAGGGAATGGCAACCTACTCCAGTATTCCTGCCTGGGAAATCCCACAGACAGAGGAGCCTGTCAGGCCAGGTTGGACATGAGTTAGCAACTAAACGACAACAACAGAAAAAAACCAAAGCAAAATCCACAAATCCTAGGCCCTAACAAACTAATATAGGTGCTTAAAAGAGCTGAGCATGATCTGGATCTCCAACAACCTTGGACTCCCTTACTGTCTACCTTCCAGACGAGCTGGCCTTCTGTACTTACTAGAACAGGTGAGCCCTGCTCCAGGCTCTGGACCTTTGCACGCACTGTTCCTTCTCCCTGGAGCTCTGTTCCACTGCTTTTTACATGACCAACCTCTTGTCCCACAGGTGTCCACTAACATTTCACTTCCCTGAACAGCCCATGTGACAGAGGTGGCTTCCTGATGTTCTCCATCTCAGGCCATGATGTGTTTCTCTCATAAATCTTATGAAAAGTATTATTACAATTTATAATAATTTTTTTGTTTACTTTTGAAGGTTCTTTGTCTTTTCCAGTAGAGGACCTCAAGCTCCATCAGGGTGTAAAGATGTCTAGTTCCTACTTGCGTCCCTATGGCCTAGCACATCCCTATATCTTCCATAAATAATTTCTGAAAGAGTGAATAGGACATAAGTTATCTGGAATTATCTGGTTGGTTAAATTGATCTTTAACTATGTGTCGAATGACAGGAGGAAGAGCAAGCCTGGCCTTCCTGGATGGAGGATGGATAGCAGTTGTATACAATCACCACCCACAGATAAGGTTTTGGGGTTTTGAAGGGAATGGCACTCTCCTGCTTCCTTTAAGTCATTTAACACCTTTCACTGACCTTGCTGGCATGGAATGAAGATGATCTTCCAAGCAGTTTGTTTGTTAGTGGTTCTAGTAACAGCTTGGTAAAGGAGGTTAGAGGTAATCCCAAAGCCTAAGTTGGTCAGAATCAGAGGGTCAGTGCACCCTCTTCCAACTCTGTGCCAAACTCAATATAGTTCATTAAATGAAGATATATAAGTGTGTTCCCTTTCAAACAACTGAGTAACAAAAAACAAAACCCAAGCTATTTTAAAAGCTTTGTAGAAGGGAAGGTTATTCCAATATCACACATCACAAAGGCTGAACATCACAGAGGACTGTCAAATGGAAACTGGAACCTGCTCCAAGTCTCTGAAACTGAGCCAGAAGTAGAAAGAGTCTGGTACAGTCTGCATCTAAGGTGAAATCTTAAGATGCAGAGCGGCAATTACCTTGACATACCTGGCCATAAATCTCCTTGTCTGAAAAATTCATGCCTAAAAGATTGTTGAAACAATGCAATATTACTTCAAAACATCCAAGGTTATGCAAAAGCAGTGAGACTAGCTAATCAAAAGCAAGGATATAATAAGAGTTACTGGAGTTCCATTAATAAAATTTACCTCAAAAGGTATTCTGTACCAAAGGTTCTGGGCCTCTGAACATGTTGAAAAGCAGAAAAATATTATGCTTGCATGTTTTTGCTAAAATGAATAAAATGTGGACTAATCCACATTAGAGTTGGCTGATCCTCTCAATAATTAGATCAGGACTTTGCCTCTAAAAGGGGACTTCCCTGGTAGCACAGATAGTAAAGAATCTGACTGCAATGCAGGAGACCTGGGTTTGATTCCTGGGTCGGGAAGACCTGCTGGAGAAGAGAATGGCAACCCACTCCAGTATTCCTGTCTGGAGAATTCCATGGACAGAGAAGCCTGGCAGGTTACAGTCCACGGGATCACAAAAGAGTCAGACATGACTGAGCAACTAACATTTTACTTTTAAAAGAAACCCAAACATTAGCTTTCCCCTTTTCTCATTTTATAAACATAGGTGAACCTTATTTTAAAATACATTGTGCTCCTGGAAGAATGTATGCAAATAATATTTTTGGAACTAGAACCATATAATATCTAAAGATTCCAACTATTTTAGGGCTCCTTACTCTGAATTTTTTTTAAAAATTAGTAAATGTGTTTGTAATGAAAATACTCACTTTCTAATTCTTCCATCTTTGTAAAAGCAGATTTTAGAGGTTCACATTTGTATGTCTTGTAGAGTATAAACAGGATTATACACCATGATCAAATAGGATTTATCCTAGGAATGCAAGATTGGCTTAACATTCAAAAGTCAATTAATGTAATATGTCACATTAATAGAATAAAGGCCAAACCTTACAGGATCATCATAACAGATGCAGAAAAAGCATTTAACAAAATTCAAGACCACTTCATGATAAAAACACTCAACAAACTAGGAATAGAAGGAAATGTCTTCAACCTGATTTAAAACATTTATTAAATAAAACAAAACCCACAGTTAACATCAAATCAGTGGTGAAAGACTAGCTATTTCCCCCTAAGATGAGAAGTAAGATGAAGATGTCTGCTGTCCTCATTTCTATTTAACATTGTGCAGGACATGCTAGCCAGGCAATTAGGCAACAATAAGAAATAGAAGGTATTCAGATTGGAAAAGAGAAAATGAAATAAATAAAATAGTTCCATTTATAATAGCATCAGAAAGAATAAATACTTGGTACTAATTTTAATAAAAGAAGCAAAAGGCTTTTACACTAAAAAGAAAGAAAGAAAGGAAGAAACTACACTACAAAACAGCATTGAAAGAAATTAAAGAAGACCTACATAAATGGAAAGATATCTCATGTTCATGGTTTGCAAAAATCCCTGTCAAAATCACATTTGACTTCTTTGCAGAAATTAACAACTGATTCTAAAATTCATGTGAAAATTTAAGAGACCAGAAAAGCCAAAACAATCTTGAAAAAGAACAAAGTTTGAAGACATATTTCTCTATTTCAAAACTCACTACAAGGCTATAGTGTTCAAGACAGCATGGACTGGCATTATGACAAGCATATAGGTCAATAGAATAAAATTGAGAGTCCAGAAATAAACTCTTATATTTACTGCAAACTGACCTTTGACTAGGATGCAAAACTATTCAGTTGGGAAAGAACAGTCTTTTCAACAAATGGTGCAAGGCCGCTGGATATCCATATGCAAAAGAATGAATTTGAGTTCCCTATCTCACACAATACAAAAATTAACTCAAAATCACAGACCTAAATGTAAGAGCCAAAACTCTAAAACCCTCCAGAGAAAATACAGGAGTCTTTGTGACACTGGAATAGGCAATGGTTTCTTAGGTATGACACCAAAACACAATCAACAAAAGAAAAAATTAGTAAATGGGACTTAATCAAAATTCAAAATTCTCATGTTTCAAAGGACATCATCAAGAAAACAAAAAGAAAACTCACAGGATAGGAGAAAATATTTATAAGTCATATATCTAACAGGGGACTTGATTCTAGAATGTACGAAGAGCCCATGCATGTATGCATGCTAAGTTCCTTCAGTCGTATCTGACTCTTTGTGACCCTATGGACTGTAGCCTGCCAGGCTCCTCTGTCCATGCAATTCTCCAGGAAAGAATATTGGAGTGGGTTGCCATGCCCTCCTCCAGGGGATCTTCCCAACCCAGCGATTGAACCCACACCCCTTGCAGCTCTTGCATTGCAGGCAGATTCTTTACTTCTGAGCCACTGGGGAAGTCCATAAAGAGCTCATTGCTGTTGTTGTTCAGTCACCCAGTCATGTCCCACTCTCTGCAGGCCCACAAACTGCAACACACCAGACCTCCCTGTCTCTCTTGATGAGGGTGAAGGAGGAGAGTGAAAGAGCCAGCTTAAGACTAAATATTGGAGAAAAAAAAAAAAACTAAGATCATGGCATCTGGCCCCATTACTGCAGGGCAAATAGAAGGAGAAAAGGTGGAAGTAGGGACAGAGTTCCTCTTCTTGGGCTCCAGAATCACTGCAGACAGTGACTGCAGCCATGAAATCAAAACAGGATTGCTTCTTGGCAGGAAAATGATGACAAAGAGCTCATACAACTTAGTAATTAAAAGACAAACAAAAAGTGGAAGTGTTAGTTGCTCTTAGTTGTGTCCGACTCTTTGTGACCCCATGGACTGTAGCCTGCCAGGCTCCTCTGTCCATGGAGTTCTCCAGGCAAGAATACTGGAGTGGGTAGCCAGTCCCTTCTCCAGGGCATCTTCCTGACCCAGGGACCAAACCCAGATCTCCCACATTGCAAGCAGATTCCTTACCATCTGAGCCACCAGGGAAGTCCCCGAAGACAAAAAAACCCTATTGTAACACGAGGAAAGAATCCAACAGACCCTTCTCCAAGGAAGATTTACGAATAGCCAATAAGCACACAAAAAGATATTTAACATCACTGGTCATCAGGGTAATGGAAATCAAAACTGCAATACAAAGTAACTGTCTGAAAACAGCTTAAGGTAACCTGTTATTTACTGCCAAAGAAGTATCTCCTTTTGTGGACAAATGAAATAAATAGCAGGGAAAAATAAAAAACGCAAAACACTAAATGAGACAACATTTAGTGTCCTTTAGAAAAACAAAAAACTACAAGTTTTGGTAAGAATGTGGAGAAATTAGAACATAGGATTAACACATAATTCACTTATACCTTAATATATCCAAAAGAATTAAAAACAGGTATTCATGCAAATACATGTACACAAACAATCATAGCAGCATTATTTACAATAGCTAAATGGTGAAAATGATCCAAATGGCCATCAATAGAAGAATGAATAAATAGAAAGGGGCATATCCATACAGTGAAATATTACTTGACAATAAAAAAATCAATGAAGTACTGATACAATGTACAAAATGGATGAGCCTTGAAAACATCATGCTAAGGGAAAAAGGCAGTCACAAAGGATCCCATTTCATATGGTTCCAATTAAATGAAACATCCAAATTAGGCAAATCCATTAGTAGAGCAAACAGATTAGTAGTTATCTTGGCCTGGGGAAGAAGAGAGCAAATGGAGGCTAAGGAGTAGAAGGTTTCCTTTGGGATAATGTAAATGTTATAAAATTGACTGTAGTGATAGTTGTGCCACTCTCCAAATAGCCGAAAAGCCATTGAATCATACATTTTATGACTGAATCAAACATTTGAATCATACATTTAAAATGAATGAGTTTACAGTGTATGAGTTATATCTCCATATATCTATTGGAAAAATAAACACTAAGAATTTTTTTGAAAAAGCAAACTACTTCCTTGGAAGAAGCATTACTATTTCTAGTACTGAGACTGAAGAGACTAAGACAGGTATTCAGAGAATATCCTACAAGATGTGGTGAATGACAGTCCCGGTGACATCCTTCAACGCAATAACATAAGGATGTTCTTAGAAGCCTCTTTAACACAGGATAGGACACTAAAGAGAATGCAATTCAGTGCCCTCAGGCTTAATAATCCAGTGATGTACTCTGGAGAAACAGTCTGCGCATCCTTCAGGAGAACTTCCATAACTTTTTTTTTTCGGCTTTTTTCCCCCCTTCTTTCTCATATTATCAATATTTACAAATATAATGATGCTCACTGAGAAAATTAGAGACAAGCGAAAAGAGAAAATAAAAATCACCCATAAGTTTACCACCTAGAAATGATCACTGTTAGCTTTTGAAGTTGGAGATAACCAGTACTGCAAAATAGTTGTTTAAAAGAAATTCATTTAAAACAAGAGACAACATTTCATAGTAAATCGTATGTGGGATGGGGAGGAAAAGATCTGATATGAATATTATCTTAAAAACAAACCAAAAAATTATAAAGATTTATGCAATTTATATTGCTTCTGCAAGTATGAGTGAATCAAATTTCCATTTTGGAGATGTGTAATTTTATGAACATACTTGTTTAGTAACTCGATTGGACAATCTTCATTTCATCATTTGACATTTACAGCACAATTCCATACAGAGAATTGCTGTTCATATATATATTTGAGTAATTCACTCATTTTTCTAACAGCTTAACTGTTGAATACTGAGTGATAGTGAGTTCAAGCTTATGCTCTCTAGTATATCATGCAATGGAACACTATTAAGCCATAAAATGGAGTAAAGTATTTATACATGCTACAACATGGATGAACTTTGAAAACATTATGCTAAGTGAAAGTTAATCACAAAAAAACACATATTGTACCATTCCATTTACATGAGATGTCCAGAATAGGCAAATCCATGGAGATAGAAAGTAGATTACTCAGAGGAGGGAAGAATGGAGAGTGACTCCTAATGGATATGGGACTTTTTCTTGAGGTGATAAAAATTTTCTGAAATTAGTAGTGATTGTTGTACAACTCTGTGAATACCCTAAAACTACTGATATGTACATTTTAAAAGGGTGAATCTAAACCACTACAATATTGTAAAATAATTAGCCTCTAACTAATAAAAATAATTGAGGGGGGGAACTTAACCCAGAGTCCCCAGCTGCTAAAATTTTATGATAATTATATAATTAGAATTTCAAATTTTACAATACATAAATAAATAAAAGGGTGAATCTTACAATACATGCTGCTGCTGCTGCTAAGTTGCTTCAGTTGTGTCCGACCCTGTGTGACCCCATAGATGGCAGCCCACCAGGCTCCGCCATCCCTGGGATTCTCCAGGCGAGAACGTTGGAGTGGGTTGCCATTTCCTTCTCCAATGCACGAGAGTGAAAAGTGAAAGTGAAGTCGCTCAGTCGTGTCCAACTCTTCACAACCCCATGGACTGTAGCCTACCAGGCTCCTCTGTCCATGGGATTTTCCAGGCAAGAGTACTGGAGTGGGTTGCCATTTCTTGCTCCACTCAATACATGAATATATCCCTAAAAAGACTGTACTCTCTGGCAAGTTCTTGGAGAACAGCTGTCCTCTGCTACTGGTAAATGAGGTGGCTTCTTGCACAAATTGAGGACCCTGAGGATGACCAGGGTTGGAAAAGTAGGCTATACCACATTCCCTAAAAGTGATAGGACCACAGCTTGAGGAGCCTGCTTGGAGAATTTTATCTTACTCCTATTCTTTACGTACTCTTCTCACAGCAAAGAAACTGCCAAGGAATTCTCCTGCTGATGACCCTAAATATACTGCTCATTCAATAAGGAATTGATAATTGATGATATGCCTCATTGAGTTGATATGACACAAAGCCATACAGCACTAAAAACATGCCTCATTCTTACCTGATTATTATAGAAACATCTAGGCAAGGACTCAGGATGTGGTGGAAGGATGGAAGTAGCAAGTTTCTTATGGTGAGATGGTTTTCTCTTCCTCCCTGTCTTCCT